ATGCTCCTGCCTCAGGGCCTTTGCCCTGTCCGTTCCTTCTGCCGAGAATGCTGTTCCCGTGGCTCACTCCCTTGCCTCCCGCGGGTCTGAGCTCCAGCCAGGAGGCCCTCCTTGGCCTTCCCGCTGAAATAACCCACTTAGTTCCACCCCCCTCCTTCTTCTAGTTAACGTTTCTGTATCACAAAGACTGTAGCCGATGTCACGTTGCTCGTTCGTACAGTTCTTGTTTCTTCCCCGTTGGCAGGAACCTGTGTCTGGCTCACTGCTGTGCCCACTGCCCCAGACTGTGCCCCCCGTGGCTGCCTAATGACCAGTGTGAACAGACGTCCGGGGGCTTGTGGGGAGGCAGTCGACAAGGAGGCTGGGGCTGAAGAGCTGTCTCTGGGGGGCAGGGCGGCAGGAGCTGCAAGGTGAGGGTCACAGGTTCCAAGATGATTCTCTCTCTGCTCCCCCCATGGGATTCTGGGGGTCCATGTGTGTCCATGTCCGGCTCTCTTTAGATAAACTTTCTATTTTGGAATAATTTTGGGCTTCCAGACAAGGCACACAGACAGCACCGGGAGCTGCGTGGCCCTCCCGCAGTGTCCCCATCAAGGGCTGACATTTCCATGGGGCTTTTGCCAAATGGAAGGAGCCAGCCTGGTGTGTTTATGTCACCATTAACCCAACAGACACTTTATCCCAATGTCACCAGCTTCTCCACTTGTCTTTTTTTCTGATCCAGGATCCCATGTTGCAGTTACTCGCTTGGCTGTTTTTAAAATGTGGATTTTATGTATCAGAGACTCGGTTGCGAAGCTGGAGAAAGCTTGAGTGGGGGCTGGCCCTGAGCAGGGGGTTCCCAAGGTCAAGGGCAGGCTGGTGGGGAGTAGGGGATAACTGCAGCTCCATCTGAGAAAGAAGCTCCTAACCCTGGGAGCTGTCTGGGGTGAGGGTCCCAACAGGCTGCCCTGTAGGTAGTGAGCTCCCCGTCACAGTAGAGTGCCCCCGTCACGAGGGCACATAAGGAGGTTCCTTTTGGGTTCCTGGAGGAGATTCCACCGGGACCTTGGGCCTGTAAAGGAGAGTTAGATGGGGCAAACTCGGGCCTGGAACTTCCCAGGTCTCTGACTCCTGTTTGAGGAGAATTCCTGAGAGCTCGCCTGCCCCATTCTGCCAGGGATCCAGCCAGTCTGCCTTCAAGACTGAGGAGCTGAGGCTTCACGCTGGGCAAGCAGACCCCGTCTCTGAGCCTCAGTTTCTCCGTCTGTGAGACAGAGCTTCCACTAGGATGGCTCTGATCAAAAAAACTCAAATGCGCAGCGTCGGGAGGATGTGGGGAAGCTGCGGGTAAGAAGGGGACATGGTTCGGTCACTGTAGAAAAGAGTTCGGTGGCACCTCAAAAGATCAAACACAGGGTCACCATACGACCCAGCAGTTCCACCCCTGGCTAGAGACACAGAGAAGTGAAAACGTGTGCAAAGACTCGTACACCGTGTTCACGGCAGCGCGTTCACAATCGCCCCAAGTGGAAACAACCCAGACGGCCAGCAACAGATGATGGAGGAACAGAACGCCCGTCCGCACGGGGGACCAGCGCTCAGCCATAGAGACAGGCGAAGCCCTGACAGGCGCTACAGCGGGGACGGACCTCGGAAACCTGGCGCCAAGAGGAGAAAGCCACACACAGGGGGCCACACGGTGTGCGATCCCATTTATGAAACATCTGGAACAGGCAAGTCCACGGAGACAGAGAGTGGGTGAGGGGTGGCCAGGGGCTGGGGGAGGGGGAGGGGAATCCACTGCTCATGGGGACCGGGTCGCCTTCAGGGTGATGGAATGTTCTGGAACTAGACAGACGTGATGGTTGCACAACATTATGAACGTGCTGCAAACCACTGAATTGCACACTCGAAAATGGTTAAAATGGTTTTATGTTATGTGAATTTTATCTCAATTAAAAAAACATCAAAGCCAGCCTCTGTGGTCGCCCCTGAAGCTGAGAGCCTGGGGTTCACACACGCGGCCGCGCCCCTCTCCCGGGCTCAGCGGCCAGGGCGGTTTGGGGGCCCGGACGCCCAGAGGGGCGCAGCGCAGCGCAGGGTGGGCGCCAGCGGGCGCCGGTGGGGGCGCCGGGTCCCCCGCCCCCGCCCCCGCCCCGCCCAGGTGGCCGCGTCCAGCCGGGGAAAGGGGGAAGTGGGGCCTCTCGTGGCCCCGGGCCCCGGATTTGCATCGGCCCCTTTTACATAAAAATCTTTCCAGGCCGTGCGCAGCGGGCCCTGAAGCCGGCGGGTCGGGCCTGCTGGGCGGCTCGCGAGGCTTCTGCAACACCGGCCCAGCCAGGGGTTCCTGTTTTGGGAGAATGTTGTCACCACCGCTTCTTAGAAAGAGCCTGAGGTGGGGAGCCCGCCAGCCCCCCGCCCGTCCTGCGGCGCCCCTGCCCTCTCGTCCCCTTGGGGTGGGGACGCAGCTCCATCCAGGGTCAGCCGATGGGCGGGGCGGGAGCCCGGGGTGACAGGGACCGATCCTCGGGCGCTCCCCGCGTCCCTGGCTGGCTGTGTGCTGTGGTCATCTCCTGGGACCCCCGTAAGACGTGTCCCCCCCCAGGCCCACTGAGAACATTGGGGTTTCGCAGGAGCGTGGTGGCCGGACTGAAGCCCGCCCTGGGCAGACCTGGCGACAGGCTCCTGAGACAAGGTGGGCGGCCGGCCAGGTCACTGAGCCCGCGGCCGTGGGGAGGAAGCCGAGGGGCACGGTGACTCCACGGGCCACAGTGGGGTGACGGGGCTCCCAGAGCCGCAGTGAGGGGCCGAGCCAGGGCCGTAGCAGGGGCCTTTCTGCTCTGAGCGACCCCGCCCCTACCCCGGCCTCGCGCCCGGCTCCCATCCCCATCTCCTGCCCCGCCCCGGCCCCGACCCCGTCCCCCAACCCCCTCCCCATGCCCGGTCTGGTCCTGTCCCCGCGGCCCGCGCAGCGGGCGCCGCCGCCCCCGCTGAGGATCTCCTCCTCGGCCGCCTGGAGGCCACGTTGTGAAACGCCCTGGACTCAGCCCTCCCGCGCCCCCACGGACGGACCAGGACACCGAGGCCGAGAGCTCAGCCAGGAGCCCACGGGCGCCAGCTGCTTCTTGGGCACAGTGGCTCTTCCCGCCCTCGGCGCGCGGGGTCGGCCGGAAAAGAAGAGGCTCGGGTGTCACCTCCACCTTTGACATAGAGCCAAGCAGCCTGGCCTTGCTGTGCCTCACTTTCCGCCCCCCCACCCACAGCATGCGTCACTCACTCGTCTTAAACCTCCTGTTCGCCGCGTTGGTGGCCTTTGCATGTGTCCACCGTGCGTCCTCAGCCTCCGCTCAAACCTGTCCGTGGCATTGCCTTAGTCTCAGGTGACTTCCGAGGCTGTGGTGCCCAGGCCCTGCCCCCAACCCTGTCACCCAGGCCTCCCGAGGCCCTGGCCCGAGCTGTGCCCCCTGGACCGCCCTTCCCGGGTCCAGCCATGCCCTCGGCCTCTCCATTAGTGCTTTCTCACCCCGGTCTGCCTCAGCCTCATGTTAACAGCTTTCTTTCCTTTTCTTCTTTGTAAGCGTTTTATTCAAGAATAACACGGAGACGTTGAAGAGCCTGAATCCCGAGTGTGCAGCTCTCGATACATTTTCACAAAGTTAACACACCCACCTCTCCAGCACCCAGATAAGAGGGAGGACATCGCAGCCCCTCTCTCCCAGTGGAGCTCGCTTGCAGGCTCAGCGTTTTGAATTGATGATTGATGATTACAGGATAGGCCCCCTGCCTGTCATGTAGCTGCTCAACAAGCTGCAGGGTCCATGGCTTGCATTAATAGAGGTGTAGACTCCAGGATGAAGGAGATGATTTCCCTCCTCATTCTGGGCTGGTCAGAGCAGGCAGGCAGCTCCCCCTGCCACTTTGCAACGGGGCAGGCAGACGGCAGAGGGTTCAGGGAGGATCACCGTGGTGTGTGTGTCTCTGTGTGTGTGTGTGCGTGTGCATGTGCACACTTCTGAGTGGTGCCCTGGGAGAAAGCACTGGAGGCTTTAGGCGTTTGACCTGGAGACGGACAGCCCCGGGTCCCTGTCACCTGCTCCGGTGGCTGGATGGCAGGGCAGGGTCTGAGGGAGGCACCGTCTCACCAGCCAGTTTCTAGGCTACGAGCAGGCTGCTTTGAATGGTACTGAGCATCCCGTCAGGACAGAGAGGCCCGCCCAATGCATCCTCGGCAGCAGGCTGGGCAGGACAGCATGGTCCTGCCTCTTACCCGCCCCAGGCCTTGCAGAGAGGGACTGAGGAGAGCTGCAGGGGACATGTGGCCAAGCTGAGACCTTTCTCGGGGGGAGATGGAAGCCCAGAGCTGGACAGTGACCTCCCACGGTCATTTGTCCCAAACTGGCTTTCCAGGCACAGGCCTGGCTTGGAGCTTGGGCTTTGGGTGGAGTTCAGGTTGGGTTATATCTGGCATGGCCGTTCCCTCTCGCCGGCTGCAGCTGCCTGGGGTGGGGACGGTGGGGCATGCTCCACCAGCCGCACTGGCAAGCGGCTGCAGGTGCTGGGCCGGCCATTTACATAGCCACGCTTGGCCTCCCCCGCCTGGCGGCCGGCCTGCCCCCTGGCCTCTCACCAGGAAAGGGCCAGGGCTTCTGAGCGCGGGAGCCGGCTCGGAGCCCTGTAATCTTGGCGTAGTTTTATTTCACTTCTGCGTTTCACTTTTACTGGTCTCGGCTGAAGGATGCATGTTAGTCAGCCCCGAGAGAAGTTAGTGTGTGCTGTGCCAGCTGGGGTGGGGGCGGGTGAGTGGGCAGACCCAGGTCTGAGTCCCAAGCCACTGCTGGGCGTGTGACCCCTGGAGCCACACTCCACCCCCTGAGCCTCCTGTGATGTGCACGGGGTGCGGGAGGAGACCCGGGGCCTCGGTTTTGATGCGGGCCTGCCTCTGTCCTGCTGTGTGGCCTCAGGCAAGTCCCTTCCCCTCTCTGGGCCTCAATTCTCTCCTCTGTAAAATGGAATAACCACAGTCACATCCTTGCAACGCTGTCTCTCTGATCCGACACTGGCGCAGGGTCTGGCTGAGTGCTTGTCCAGCGGGCTGTTTCGGGCTGGGCGAGGTGAGGAGGCCTGAGGGTGGAGGGGCTGGAGCAGTTGTATGTCCTTGAACTTGAGAAACCTGAGCTTGTGTAGGGATTTCATCATGAGGCTGGACGAAATGCAGATTCCTGGGCCTGCCCGGGCATCTGCGGGAGCCACGTCAGGCCCAGAAACTTCAGGGAAATCTCTGGGGCCCGTGGGTGCGTTTGGTGTCAAGTCTGTGTTTCTCAGGACACGACCAGGGAAGGGCTGTGGAGAGGGGGAAACTGAGGCACAGAGGTGCAGCCAGTTCCCAGGGGGGCTCAGCAAGCCAGTGCTGCGCCAGGATTGAGTGGGGTAGGCCCGATCCAGACCGGTGCCCCAGCACGCGGCGGCCCTCGGCGGCTCTGCCCAGAGCCCGGGTGCTGCCTCCCAGGGCCGCGGGCTCCCCCCGGGAGTGGCTCGGGGCTGAGCCGGGTTTATATAGGGCCTCCCAAAATATCTGGCCGCCCATAGGCCGAGGCTGGCGAGGGCGCGGCTGGCCAGCGCCGCGGCTTCCTGTCCTGCCAAGATGTTTCCTGCCGATAGCCGGGCCAGCGGCCTTATCTGTGACCTCGGGCCGCTGTGAGGACAGCCCCCCTGCCAAGGGACAGGCTGTTCTGGCCCAGGCAGGGGCTGCAGGGACCCTGGAGGGTCAGGGCGAGCAGCCCACTGGGGGTGGGGGTCATTTGGTCAACACATGACTTTTAGGAAGGAGCACTGTGCTCAGAGTCCAGCTGCCCCAGAGTTGAGCTGCGGCTCTGGGGCCAAATGGCTACCTGTCTCTGGGGAGCAGGGCCCCTCTCAAAGTGCCCCTCGCCCATCAAGTGGGGACAGTGGCATCTCCATTTTCCTTCAACTCTCCCCACCCCTAGCCCCTCAAGGAGCCCCAGTCTGCAGGAGACGAGCTGGCCACGCATGCCCCCAGCCCCGCAGCGCCAGGGCTTGGCTGGAGGGAAGGCAGAGGTGGGAGGAATCCAGGTGTCTGTATGGAGCAGCTGCCTGGAGAAGGGATGTCACAGCTGGGGTTTAATGGTTATGTAGGAGCTCACCAGGCAGAACTCGTGGAGGGGATGGCCAGGCTGAGGGAACAGTGTCTGTGAATGCTTGGAGTCCAAGTGCCACTCTCATTTCACAGAGAAAGACACTGAGGTTTTCAGAGGAGGTGATGCCGTGGCTCTGAAACCTGGCTCTTTCTTCCCCTGTACCCACTGACGGGGACCTGAGCTCCTGGAAGGGGACATGTACCCTCCCCATTGTGACCCTGGGATCTGGAGAACAATTTTAAATTTCAAAATTGCTTTTATTGCAGCCCAAACAGTGGAATTAACTCTACGTAATAATGAGGTGTGTGTGTGAGGTGTGCGCGCGTGTGGCCCTATAGATGCACACACAGTAATAACTCAGAGGGAATAAAATTTCTAGGAAATAAGGTTTATTTTGGCAGGTGGTATTAAAATTAAAGTTGCCGACATTGATAACTCAACGTCTTTAACTGGGCGTAAGTGTGACACGTTTTCCTGCCAGGTCACCGACCTCAACGGCTTCGCAATGAACCGCGACCCTGAGATGAGCTGTTCTCTTCCTGTGAGTGAAGCTCTGATTCCGGGGGTCCCCCCCCCCGGGTCTCATCAGCTCCACGCCAGGGGCTGGTGGACCCTCGGGCACTGGGCCGGCTGGGGTGTAACCGGAGCTGGGGGCACGGGGCTGGGGGCGAAGGCCCTTCCCAGGGTCCCAGCGGGCGGGCGGCTGGGGCCGGGCGGCTTCAGGGAGGCTGTCCACGCCCGCCCTGCCCTCGAGGGGCCAGCGCCCCAGGACCGTCCACCCTGAGGACCAGCCCCGCTCACTCGCGCCGTCCCTCCCTCGCTGGCTCGGGTTTGGGGCTGTGTCCCCAACACAGGGAGGGTCAGTGGGGCAAGAGGTGAAGGGAGCGCTGGTTTGGGTTTCCTCTTTAACATTTTTCAAGGGATGTGAGCAAACTGGAACTTTGTTAGTAGCTGAGCGCTGCCTCCGTGGCCCCGCGGTCGGAGGATGTGGCCGCGCGACAGAGGGACTCGGAGGCACGCACCTCGGTGTCCGCAGCAGCATGACTCCCAGGAGCCGGAAAGCAGACACGGCCGGAGGGTCCGCTGACAGGTGATGGATAAACCAACTGTGGTCCATCCCGAGGGACTAGCACTCGGTCATAACAAAGACCACAGCCCTGACACGCGCTTCACAGTGGACGAACCTCACGGCCTCACGCTGAGTGAGAGAAGCTGACACAGAAGGCCTCATGTGATCCCATAGGGGAAAGGTCCAGAACAGGCAGATCCACAGACAGAGGCAGACGGGTGGTGGCCCGGGGCTGGGGAGGGGGATGGGGAGGGGCTGCTCGTGGGGACGGGGTCTCCTTCTAGGGTGATGGAATGTTCAGGAATTAGATACTGGTGGTGGTTGCATGTGCACTAAATGTCCCTGAATTGTGTACTTTAAGTTGGTTCATTTTGTTATGTGAATTTCACCTCAATTAAAAAAAAAAGATTTTGGGGCCGGCCTGGGGGCGCAGCGGTTAAGTGCGCACATTCCGCTTCCTTGGCCCGGGGTTCGCGGGTTTGGATCCTGGGTGTGGCCATGGCACCTCTTGGCACGCCATGCTGTGGCAGGCGTCCCACATATAAAGTAGAGGAAGATGGGCATGGATGTTAGCTCAGGGCCAGTCTTCCTCAAAAAAAAAAAAAGATTTCTAAAATGTGTAGCATTTTTTCAGAGGTGGCTTCTGGGTGGTTTCAAAAACTTTAGATGGTGAACCTTTGTGCTGTTTTCTGGTTTTCTTGCCCGTGGATGGGACTGGCTCCGGGAAGACCTGTTGCTGAAGCTGTAATGACGACGTACGTGCTGGCGCCGATGCCTATGAAAGCTTTAGCTCTCCCGGCCTGCTGGACCCCGGCCTGCACGCGTCCCCTGAGGCCCCTCCCAGAATCCTCCCTAAGAGGCAGGGGCCATTGAGCCCGTTTCCCTGATGAGGAACTGAGGTTCAGATGGCCTTGGTCACCCAGCCGGCAAGCGGTCAAGCGCAGGTCGCACTCAGGTCTGGCTGGCTCCAGTGCTGTTTGCTCAGCATCTCCCAGGCCCCCTCTGTTGGGTCTGGGACCCGTGGCTCCTCCCTTCCCGAGCAGTGGCGTGGTGGGGGCTGCATTGTGACCGCACGCCTCCACACGCACACACACCCACTCACGTGGCCAGGCTCCCGCTGCCCAGGGCCTTCTGGGAAGTGGTGCCAGGTGCAACCTGTTTCTCTTGGAAGGGAGCAGAGCCAGAACGGGTGGGAAATGCTGTCAGCGTCGGAGCACAGGCGGCGGGGACGGGCTGTGCAGGAACTGCTGAGAGGCTGGGAACATTCTGGGCTTCGGGGGAGGGAGGCTCAGCCTGTGATCTCGGGAGCTGGGACGTGCGAGTCCCTGCTGGGTGACACTGGGCACGTCACTTCTGCTCTCCGACCTCAGTTCTCTTCTGTGACATGGGCTTTATAACAGTCACTGCCTTGCAGATATGAGGGATGAATGAAAACGACTGAGAGGTCAGCCGAGGGGGCAGCCCACTGGTCAGACGGAAGTGGGGATGGGGGCTGCTTGGGGCCTAGCTAGGAAGACTGAGAGCCACGCTGGGTTTACCAGCAAACAGCCAACACTGTGACAGTTCCTCAAAAAGTTGAGAATAGAATTGCAACAGATGAATGGATAAATGTAATGCGGTGCACAGGGGTGAGGGGCAGTGCGCAGCCTTCAAAAGGAGAGACATTCTGACCCTGCTACTGCAGGCATGGGCCACGAAGACATTATGCTCAGCAAGGTAAGTCACACACAAAAGGACAGATACTGTACGATCCCACGCATACGAGGCCCATAGAGGAGTCACACTCAGAGAGACAGAAGGTAGGACGGAGGGCGCCAGGGGCTGGAGGAGGGGAGTGAGTGTTTTATTGGGACAGAGTTTCAGTTTGGGACGACGAACAAGTTCTGGAGACAGATGGTGGGGACGGCTGTGCAACCATGTGAATGTGCCCAACACCCCTGAACTGGACACTTACAAATGGGTAAGACGGTGAACTTTATCTTACGTGTATTCCAGCAGAATTAAAAAGAAAGCAAGCAGTCTGATGATCCCTCCTGTGGGAGCTGCTCTGGGCTGACCACACTAGAGGAAGTTACTCGGTGTTCCCCCATCCCCTCGGCAAGCTCCGGCTCATCCTACAAAACCTGGCTCTAATGCCCCCTCCTCCAGGCAGCCCTCCCTCATCTCCCGGGTAGACCCCAGCTCTGCCATTGGCCCCCAGCCCATCCTCTGGCCCATCCCAAGCCCAGAGCTGGGGGGTGAGCATCCGGCTCCGTCACTGTCACAGGGTGAGGCTGAGCTGGGCTGAGGGGCAGGGAGTGGGGGGCCCTGCTTTGAGGGCGGGAGAGTGAGGGCAGCGGCAGGGGAAGGGACACTTAGGGGACGCAGGCCCCTGTGCTCAGTGGGCATTGTTGACCCCCAGCCCACAGTGCCTAGGGCCCTGAGAAGCCCCCAGTGTGGGGGACAGAGTGGGACACACATCTCGTGGTCAGCACTGAGTAGGCGCTGAAGGACACAGGACCCCGGTTGGGGGACGCTGGAACCTGGCCTGGCCCTGCGGGGGTCTGGGGGCCTGGGGGGAGAACCGGGCCAGGAGCTGTCCCTCCACAGGCCACCCGAGGGCCGACGTGTATGGTTACGTGTCTGCGTGTCATAGGCGTGTCTGTATGTTGTGTGTCTCTGCTGTGCCCTGCGTGTGTGGTAGCTGTTGTGTGTGTCTGTGCGCGATGCACCGTGTGTGTGCACGCGAGTGTGTGGCATTTTTGGGGAACCGAATCCCCTGGCTGGGTGTGTCTGCTGCCCGGCGGTTGGGGAGCCCCCGCCCCCTCGCTGTCCCCAGGCCTTCCTGGCTCTCTCTGGCCGCAGCCCAGCCCCACCTCCTCTTCTCGTCCCCTACCCGGGGCCCAGCCTCCCCCTGGCCCTCCCCCTGCCAGCAGCCGCCTGGCAAGCTGTGACACCCGGAACCCTCCGGCTGGGCCTCTCCGGGGCTCCCAGGATTTGCGCCCTGCCTGGGCCAGGCCTCAGCCCCCGGCCCTGCCTCGCTGCCCCACCGGAGGGGCTTTGGCGCCTGTTGCCTACCTGCGCGGAGCGCTGGGCGCTGGGCACAGTGGACGCTCAGGGGACACCTGATGGGGTGACAGGTGACAGGGTGACTGAGGCGGGCCCAGCTGGAGAGGTTGGGGGGGAGGAGCCCCGTGGGCTTTCCGAGGGCCGCGGTGTAGGGCCAGGCGGGCGGCGCGGCGGGAAGCAGGGAGGGGAGATCTGCGGGGCGCAAAGGGCGTCACTGACCCACCACTGACTAGGGCGCAGGCTGAGCCTCGGCGTCCGGCCGTGCCGTGGAATCGCTGGCCCGCTCCCAGGGCAGGGAGCCCCCAGGCGAGGCGCAGGGGCAGCGTGCTTGGGTCTGTTCTGGGGGACCCTTCACTCGGTGGCCATTCCTGGGATGCAGGAGGACCTGGAGACGCCCTCATTTCAAGAATAAGCCGAGAAGGAGGATCCAGCTCAGCGCCAGAGATGGAGCAGCGGGAGGAGGACACAGAGGGAGACAGACGGTGGTCGGGGCCAAGGGCAGAGGGGCGGCCCAGGAAGGTGGACATGGTCAAAACCCCACTGGACTCCTTCGGGCAGCCTGCGGTGGGCCCAGCGCCGGGGCTGCAGTGGATTGGAACGCGCGTGAACCGCAGCTGCACCGGCAGGGCTGAAATGGAAAAGTCTGGCAATGCTCAGTGCTGGGGAGGATGCAGGGCAGCCGGAACGCTCACCTGCCCTTGTGGGAGGTGAAATGGTGCAAGCACCTTAGAAGACTGGCAGTGTTTACCGAAGCCACACACAGGTCTCCCGCCCCTATAGCCCAGACAGCCCGCCCCTGGGTGTTCATCCACGAGACAAAAACATGCCTTGGCCACAAGACCTGGACGTGGGTGCTCGGCACAGCTTTGTTCCTAATAGCTCTGGACACAACCCAAACGCCCGTCAACTGGAGGAGTGGGCAGACGAGTTTCACTGCAGGCACACTGTGGAATGGTATACAGCAAGGAAAAAGGACGAAGCCTGTGGGTGAATCTTCGAGGCACAATGCTGAGCAAAAGCAGCCAGCTCCCAGACAGGATGCCCCGTGTGACCGTTCATCTGACGTTCAAAAACAGGTGGAAGGAATACGTGGTGTTAGCCGACAGGCTCATGGTCCCCCTGAGAGGCACACGAGGGATGGGGGTGTTACGTGTTCATCTGAGCACACCCGGAGGGAAGGACACCTCAGGCTGCACACTTGAGATCTGCGTGTGCGGCACACCGCATGCAGCCATGCACTGCTCAACGACAGGACACGTCCTGACAACTGTGTCGTTCGGCGATCCCGTTGTGCGAACCTCATAGCATGCACTACACAAACCTGGATGATGTAGCCCGCTGCACACCTAGGCCCTGTGGCACGGGTCTCAGGGGACCACCGTCGTCTCTGCGTCTGCCCTTGACTGGGATATCGTTACGTGGTGCGTGGCTGTTTACACACTCACAAAAGCAAACAGTTGGGCAGCACTTTAATCTGTGAGCTACCAGTCACATTACAAGCGTGTGGGTGTGGGGCCGCCCCGTGGCTGAGTGGTTAAGTTCGCACACTCTGCTTCGGCAGCCAGGGGTTCACGGGTTCAGATCCCAGGCGTGGGTCTAGCACCACTCGTCAGGCCACGCTGTGGCGGCGTCCTGCATAAAACAGAGGAAGATGGGCGCAGATGTCAGCTCAGCCACAGTCTTCCTCAGACACACACACACACACACACACACATGCACACGAACGTGCAGTGAGGAGGGTGTGAGCGGAGTGCAGACGCTGCTCTGAGGTTGGGTGGGACAGGGAGGCTGGACGGGCTGGGGTCTCTGTGGGGAGGGGCTGTGGTCAGCCAGGGTGGAGCCGCTGCTGACGGGAGGGGCACGTTGGCGCAGAGGAAAGTGCTCATCGAAAAGAACTTGCCGGAAATTTCCAGGCACGGTATTCTCAGTTTGGTCAGGAACCATGGCTTTTTAGCCTTGTAAAAAACAGTGAAATTCCTCAAAAAGTTAAACATGGAATTACCATATGACCCAGCCGTTCCTCTCTGAGGTACAGACCCCAAAGGCTGAGGGCAGGGACTCCAAACAGATATTTCAACATCCACATTCACTGCAGCGCTGCTCACAAGCACCAAAAGGTGGAACAAGCCGTGTCCATCAACTGATGACGGACGAGCAGAATGCGGTCCGTCCACGCGCCGGCCCGGTGCTCAGCCGCAGGCAGGACCCACGAGCGCCAGGGTGGAGGGACCTCGGAAACCTCACGCCGAGTGAGAAGCCGACACAGAGGTCACACAGCGTGTGATCCCGTTACAGGAAGTGTCTGGAACAGGCAAATCCACAGACCGACAGCAGATTAGCACTGCCAGGGGCTGGGGAGGGGGAGGGGAGTGAC